CAGTCAGTGCTGGTCCCAGCATGGCACTAGGGGGCGCTGTGGTGCAGGGAGTGGGGTGGGGGCAGTAGGGGGCGCTCTCACCTGGCAGGCAGTGCTGGTCCCAGCATGGCACTAGGGGGCGCTGTGGTGCAGGGTGCAGGGTGGGGTCAGTAGGGGGCGCTCTCACCTGGCAGGCAGTGCTGGTCCCAGCATGGCACTAGGGGGCACTGTGGTGCAGGGAGCAGGGTGGGTCAGTAGGGGGCGCTCTCACCTGGCAGGCAGTGCTGGTCCCAGCATGGCACTAGGGGGCGCTGGGGGGCAGCTCAGAGGGGCTGGAACAAGGTGTACAGTGGGGATGCTGAGAGCCACTGACCCCAACTGTAACCTGCTGCATATGATCGAAGCCACTTCCAGCCAGGCGGTGCGGCAGCCCCCCAGACCCTAGTTCCAGCTCCTGTGGGGCAGCTTCTCTGGGAGTCACTGGGCCTGCGGAGACTGGGGCCAGGCACTCCCGTGTGAGGCCTGAATCAGCACCTGGGCCCAGAGGTAGTCACTAGCCAGCGGGCAACTGGGGACCAAATCCCGACCGCCGGACGCTTTGGAACAGACGGCAACTTCTTTGTATTTCCTTCGGATCGTTATGATCGTTTGTGTCGTGTTCTCTCTGGAGTCTGGACCTTCCCAATACCTGGACCTTGAGAACAAGTAATTGACTTCCCCTGGTGCCCCTCCCCCGCCTGCTCCCTCCCCGAGACAGGACTGGGCCGGGGGGGGCGCGGCCATCCCCAGCAGGCCGGGGGGGCTCTGGATGCGCATGCTGGGGTGGCTGGAGCTGGCACGAAGCCGGAGCAGTGTTTGCACTGGGGCGGGGGGGGCGTCTCCCCCAGCGCCATGCGGCTCCACTTAGCGAGGATGCAGCCTGGAGCCCCTGGGGCCGCGATTGGATTTTCTTGGCCGTGCCGAGCCGATCGATCCAGCCATAATTAAAGTCGCTCCAAACTCTGACTCAGATTCAACCTTGCGGGGAAGGAACCGTGGGAGATTCTCTGTGAAACACCCTCTGCTTCCCGTCGCCCGCTGCCCACTGCAGGGGTGGCTGTGCCCGCCAGGGCTGCCCAGGGGGCCTGGGGCCTGCAGCGCTCTGCGCTGGGGGTGTGGGGCAGCCCAGGTGCTGGCTGTGCTGGAGGGGCTCTGTGCCCACGGGAAGGGGGCTGGGTGGGGATCTCCAGGCCCGGTGAGTTGCTCTGGGTGCTTGCACCAGGCCCCCCAGCACGTGATCTCACACACACACACACACAGTCACACACACACCCCGCAGCAGCCGGCCCTGCTCCCATCCCCTGGCAGGACCCTGCCTGCGTCCGGCCTCGCGCCCGACTGCTGGGTGCGCCCTGAGCCAGACGAGGCTGGGGGGAGGGGGGTTGCAGGGCTGGCGTCTCTGGGGCCATGGGGGGGTCTCCCCTTTCCCAGAGTCTGGGGGTTCTGGGGGTGTCTGCAGGGGTCGGGGGGGCAGCCCCATCGCCGCTCTCATTGAGGCAGGGAGAGGGCGCCACCTGCAGGACAGTAAGGGAGCCTCAGCAGCAGCTGGAGCTGTGGGATCTGCCTGCCCCATCCCACCCAGAGCATTGCCCGGCCCCTGCAGGCCCAGCAGAGGGGCTCTGTGGGGGGAAGGTCCCTGCCCTGGCACAGGGAGGGGGTCATTATTTCCAGGGGGGTCTCCCCAGCCCCGGCGCTGCAGGACAGGCCCAGGGAGCCGCAGAGGCAGGTGCCGGGGCCAGCTCCAGGCGGGCGGCAAGTCCCCGTCTGCTCACGCAGCCCGGCCGCTTAGCATGCGCCGGGGGCCGGCGGGCTCTGGAGACGCCGCTCCACATGGGCCGGCACGCGCCGTCTCTGTGCCGCAGCCAGCGGTGCACTCAGCCCCAAGGACGCCGTCCCCTCCAGCCAGCACCCAAGGGCGTCAGTGCCAGGCCCTCCCCCCCCACAGCGCCCCCTGCTGGCCGGCTGGGAGCGCCCCCCACACGCCAGTGCCCCCTGCCCCACTCCCCCACCACGCGCCCCCTGCCTCGGCCGA